TGTAATTGCAAAAGTAATTCCAAGAATCTTAATAAAGTACTAGCATGACTGCTTAAGTTTAAAAAAAAAAAAAAAAATTTTTTTGGGATCAATATTTTATTGAGTACCCAACTAGAAGCTTTATTAAAAACAGCAATGTGGTCTTTTCAGAAACATAATATAGAATAAAACTCTTTGGTTTTTCAAATTGACTAAAGATTAACTTAGTTATATTTTAACTATAACTAGATATTAGACCTGTTGTTAAATGACAGGTTAGATTTAAATACTTGATTTTATAACAACATATTAAATGTTATAGAAGGGTAACAGAATTATGCTACATATGCGATAAAGCAAATTATATTAATCAATTATGCAATGAATATAAATTATGTTGGCATAGTGATGCAAAAAAAAAGGTAAATTATATTTATTTGATTGTACAATTTTGTGAACATGAAAGTTATATAGGCGGCAAGCATGTTTATTATTTTCTTTTTTTTATAATTTACAAACATGAAGCATATTGCCTTTTTATACATCTTTTGGGCTTTCGATATTTGATAATTTTCTTTATACAATCAAAAATAAGGTAATGATTAAATCCAAATTTTTCATAACACAGATCGAATAGCATTCAAATTATGCAGTCATAATATATTAAGATAATATGTTTGCTTTGATTATTCTCAAATTCGTGCCTTTAGAAATAAAGTTATCCACTCTGTTACTAATCAAAATAAGAAGTTAAAAGGCAGAAATCTAAAGATATTAGTAGGTTTGTTCTCTTAAAATATATACAATCAGAACAATTTATATTCAAGTTACAATTAAAGTATACACCTAGCTAGTTGTGTTAATTATCTACTATACATTGTTAATGCATATATATATATAACTTTCTTAGAAAATTTTAACATATATATATATTTATAGCTAATCTAATCTAATAGTTCTAACTCATCTATACAATATATAAATTATTCAATGTGCTATATTAGCATCTAAAATAATTTTTAGTTTAACAATGAAAGTAAAATATGCAAGATATAATAGTATTCATGGAAGATAAAAAAATATTTATAGCAATTACTACCTTTTTCATGTACAAACTTTTCAATGAGTTGTTTACTGATAATTAAAATTTGCTTCTTATTATATTAATTTGATTCATTATTGGCTTAAAGTATAATGCAGAAGGATATAAAGAGCTGCACTAAAGAAACTATATATGATATTAAAATATATAATCATTTTAACTTATTATAAGAGACTTAGTATAATTCATTAAAGTAACGATTCTAATTAGTAGGGAAAAAACCATTATTATTGTGCTTTACAGATCAATAAAAAAAAAGTAATTACGTATTATGTACGTATATATGAGGTTATTTTTTTTAACTATAATTTTTGAAATGATAGTGTGTGAAATCAAAAATTTTTAATATATAGATTATTTGTATTATATGATTAACAAATTCATAAGATAAATATAATTCAGACCTCGATTACTTTCTTTTTTTTTTACTAATTAGTGCATTTTTCCTAAACTTGTGTTAAAAGAAAACAAAAAAAATTTCAAAATTAACATTAGACATAAAATGCAGATTAATTTTGCGTAAAATCATGACTTTTTTTATCACACTCATAGACACACTTATTCAATTCAAACAATTAACCAGAATATTATTAAAACCATCTTATACTTTTTACCTCTAATTATACATACATATATATATATATATATATATAATATATAATATAATAACAATAATAATAATCTAGATATTATATAGTAATGTATTATTAACATAATAATTTTTGTAATCTAGATTACAAAAACTGATTAAATAATAAGTCAATAGGTCTTAAGATAGTGGGTAATATCCAAGTTGTTTGGGTACTTTGCCTTTTGATTTTATTAGATTAACATATAAGTACACCTTTGAAAAATCTCTTGATATACTATATTCTTAGTACAATTGTTTAAATTTAAGCTAGCTAGTCCAAGAAAAATCTGCAACTTATGATATGTAGTTACACATGAACATGCAACGTACAACTGTCCATGTGAGAATACTGGCTTAGGAAGATAAACTCCAAGCCTATTTATTGTCTGTTATTGGGATTTGTAAATGGACATAGCAAAGGCAAGTTGATATAGAAACTGATGCTATTTAAAAGCAAATGGTAAAGATGAATTTGTTGATGATAATTTGACACATGGTAAAAACACTCTTTTTCCTTTAAATGAACCACTAACATGTTCCACTTCAATAACATTACTTTGTAGTATTCTGCAGATAAGCCGTATGCCATTACAGAGACCTTCATTTGCATCAATATTACGAAGTAATATAATAGGAGATCCTACTTTTAATGTTAATGCATAAGGTGATAATCCACTAAGCATTAATGAGTTGAGGTATTCAGTTGAGTACATATCTTCATGAGCTGGATTATATATAGCTGAGGTTTGATCTAGAACATCTGCACTATAATAAGTTTTTGCTTCTCCAGAAAATTGCAAAAGAATTTCAGTATTAAGCATATTAACTTCAGAATTGCATGGTGCTAGGATACTTCTTTTTACTATATATGTTGGGTCATGTGCATATATTTGCAAGGCAGGATATATAAAATCGATCAGTTTCTGATATGATTCATCATGTATTAAAATATTTGAAGGGAGATTTATATAACTATTATTTGGGACAACTTCAGCAATTCAGCCTTTACCAATCATCATTAGCCAATTTGCAAACTCTTGTTACATAGTAGCATTTGAAGCATCTAAAGATAATACTGTATGTAAGCACATATTGATGGCTAACTTCCTTACTTTAACATGCTTCTATAAATGTAAACAACAAAAACAGGCATTAATAATATCTTCATGTTCACCTTTTGGGATTACTGGAAGAATCTGCCGAAAATCATCACCAAAAACAAACACTTTACTACCAAATAGTAAGTTTCCAAAGTGCTGATCAATAGAACTCATAATATTTCTTAAGGTGTGGTCAACAGCTTCAAATACATGGTGATGCATCATAGGAGCCTCATCCCAAATAAAAAGTATTGCCTGTCTTAAGAGCTCAGCATGATCAGTATTTACAGATATATTGTATGTTGAATCTTCATATAACTCAATAGGAATTTTAAACTGCGAATGTGCTGTATAACCTCCATCTAGTAGTAAGACAGCAATTCCAGAGGAAGCAACTGCTAAAGCAATATTTCTGGTCAAATGCACTTTAGCTAAAAGATTGTTATAGAGGAAAGTTTTGCTAGTTCCTGCAGGTCTATCTATAAAAAAACATACTGGATTATTATGTTCTATTGTTTGCATTATTTCATTAAAGATAACCAGCTGGTCCTTATTTAAATGATTAGTATTCAGTTCAATGAACTTAGTAAGGGTTTGTATATTATAATTCAACTCTTCATTAATTAACTCATTCCTAAATTCACACACAGAATCTGGCAAAGGCATATTTGGAAAGTCTTTTAATGTTTTATTTTGTTGTAAAAAAATAATTTCTAGTTTATTTAATGCATCATTTTCAATCTCATGTTCAGTTAATTGTAAATTATGATTCTGTAAGTAATATATTACATCTTCAGTAAAAGCCACAATGTGTTTTGCCCACAGATGCTCTGGTTTATTAGGTTGGCAGTTGATTAAAATAATTGCAAATAAATGATGAAGTTGATGCCCTGATCGTATTTTTGCAGCTTCCTCTAAACAATGATCCTATTCAAGATCATTTTGTAATAGACCTAAAGCACAGCAAGCATTTTTAAAAGTTGTATGAACAAACTCATTTACTGTTCTCAGATGCTTAAAAGATTTTGCTCCACGTACAGTACATAACAATAGTCACAAGTAAAAACACTCACCAGCTCTGAGATGTACAAAAAACATATGACCAATCATATTGCCTCGAACACGTGGTTTCCATTTTTTAGTATTTTTATTAAAAACAAATGCCTGAGGAAATTGAGCATATGTGTATTTACTTGCTAATGGAGCTAGCATTGGATCTCTGTTAGCTTCAAACCATGCTGTTAATGTAGTTTTTTCATTTTGTGCATGTTGTACAATAGCTTTAAGTGAGTCATTATCAGAAAAAGTAATCATGTGCTGCCCAGGTAGATGAACTACTAAGCACATAATGTCAGGAGCTTCATTATGCATTTTGTAGTGCATTATTCACCAAAATGACTTAGACGCTAATACATAATAGGCATCAATATACTGCCGAATTTCATCAATTACTTCTACAGTAGATGTATCTATATTGCTATTACTACTAATTGCTACAATAGCCCTATCATGCCCTTTATACATGTACTTAAAAAGATATTTGACTGTATGAATTGAAGAGCAAATTTCTACATTTATATGCCATTGATACTTTTTGCATAGATAAAGATTATGTGGCACAACTTAGCGGTTATCAAGTATAGCACCTCTTACTTGTACTGTATGTTCATCATAATGGTGACGATAAATTGGATAACTATCGTTATTCTGACAAGTTATTGGTTAAAACTTTTTAGGATACATTTTTAAACATTTTCTATCTCGCATACATGGAGTATTCATGTTACTTGGCCCACATGATCCATGCATCATATACTTGATAACAGTATCATATTTTTCAGGATACTTATTAGGATCTGGAATTTTAGCTAAAATAATGCGATCATATTCTTCAGTAGTACAGGGCTTATCATTTGAAGCTAAAATAAATAGTATATGAGCATGTAAGAGACCATGCATCTGAGCTTCAATGACATAGATATATCCAAGTATATGTCTAAAAATCCCTTTTTTCAGAATATCTTTAAGTAGTGCTAATAACTTTAACTGAAATACCCATGCACAAAGATCTGGGTGATCTTGAGCAGTTTGACCTGACAGTAATTCTGCTTGAATTTCTGGCCATTTTGGGTTGCAAATCATCATAATAAAAAAATCAGGTTTGCCTAACTGTCCAACAATCATTATAGCGTCTTGGTACAATTGCTTCATATGTCGTGGACCTCCAATAAAGCTCGATGGAAGTATAATTCAATGACCAATTTGGAGATTACTTGGTAGTTCATCAGTTGTTGTTAATGTGTCTTGAAGTCTACTGTACAACTCAGCACGAATCGTTTTCTGATTGTGTCTCAAGTAATTTAATCGACTTTGTTCTATATATGCATAAGTGTTAATAATATACTGTTGAAAAAGATGACCAGCTCTATGTAGTACAAATATTTCCGAAGGTTCATGAATTCGCAACTGTAAACGATATGCATAGTATTGCATCATCAAAACATGACCTCTTATTGTATTATCATTTGTAGATTCATCTTCACTTGTGCTTTCTGTTTTATTGATAGTTATAGGTAAAGATAAATAACAATTGAAATACATGATTACTTATTACTATTAACATGAAAATTTCTTAATATAATAGTGAATAATAATAAGCAAAAAAAAACAGCTCATTTAGATGTATTTGTAAATAAAGATAAGTATTAATCAATGTGTAGTAAGTAATAATTAGCAGTAGTATGTAAGAATAAGTGAAGAAAAATAAGTAGTTTTTATTTATTGCTTAGTTATTACTTCATCCATCTCTAGATGAAGGTAGTAGTTGTTCTTGGCCTTTTAGAAAAATACTGGAATGCCATCCAGAATCACCATGTAGGAACAACAAAACATAATGTAATGGGCTATAACTTTGATGAATTTCAGAAATACGCAGGAAACCACTGCCTTGCTTATGCAATACGATATCTCAATTAGATAGTTCAATGTCTTGACCATCTCCTATCATAAGAACTGCAACTTCTGAGCCAGTAGAAGTCATATATTGAAGTTCTGGTCATGTTTTAGTTATAACGATCTTCAAATCTTGTGTAGGATTATCTTTTATTATATAAGCCACATTTTGAAAGATGTGAACATATGGATTAACATCATGCAACATTGCTTGAAGCTGTGCAAGGGTGATCAGATTAAGGTTTGGCATTAATTGTTGCCTTTGTTGTAGTTGTTCATTTGTATCATGCAAATAAATCTGGCAGAATGATAGTGTATCTTGATTCTTAGGCATAAGAGAACCTATGCGATGATACAATTCTTCTTGAATACGAAAATTATATACACCTTGTATTCCAGCAACACATTCATCAATTTTGGCACCCATTGATGTGAATGCAAGTACCAAGTTGTATATATGAATTTTTTTTCTAAAATCATGTGCTTGAGCACTTTCTTCAGTCAAAAGCTTATGCAATAATATAGATGGTGTAGAAATAACAAAAAGTTGAACTTTGCGTTTTATATAACAGATGCTAAAAATTGGAGATTGTTTGGTTTCAGCCACTTTTTCTTCAACCCAATGTAGTGCTTTGCATTCTGGGCATTTAATATTTATGCTACCATAATTATGTGAACTTACAGCATTTGTATCATAGTTCTCAACACATGCTGCATTAGTGATTTGCTGTTTGGCTTCATTTTGTTTTTTTCTGCGTAATTCAACTTGCTCAGTATTTTCATTTGCACGATGGCAAGCATATGCTTGTCTTTGGGCACTTCAATGCTGTTCAGCTTCTTTAAAAGTTTCATTTTCTAGATGGTGAGCACAGGATTCTCTTGCTAAACAGTTTTTGCATTCATGAAAGCTTTCAGAAGATCCAGCAGAAATTTCATTAGTTTGTGTCATACATCTTGCATACCGCTCTCGTTCAAGCTGGTTTTTGCATTTATGAAAAATTTCAGATTTAGACTTTGTGCTCGAATCCATTTAAAAATAAAGATAAGGACAAACACAAAGAGAATTACACATTGTACATTAATTTGAAAAGTATTTATAATGCATATTATAAGCAGAGTCAAAATTTTTGCATATTTTTTTCTCACAAAAAAACCCTAAAAAGAACGTTAACTCTGTAAATATGTGCTTATTTGATAGGCATGAAAGTTTTGGATGAGAATATTAACATTAGTGATAGATGGTCACTTATATATATTATATAAAACAAACTGTTTCTGTAAGTTTAATTAATGCATTAAAAAATATTTTACATTGCTTTTTTTGAATATTTTCGCTTCTTTTTTTTTTGTGTATTCAGGTTCCATATCAAAAATATTAAATTTTCCTTTTAAAGAATAGCATAATTTGGGACTGCAAGTGTAATAAAGAGTTATGAAGTGGTTATAGGCAGATTATTCATGTAGTTATGTACAATTCAAAATATATTATGTGTTGCTATATCACATAACATGTAAATAAAAAAAAATTATGCAATTTTATATAGTATAGAAAGAAGAGTTCACGCTTCTTAATTATATGTTTATCAGAGTTTTTTTTAAGCACTGTATCTTAATAAGCAACGAATTAGCATTTGTATAAATTAAGATCTATTTTATTAATATATGCACCTTTGCAACTTAAAAAAACATGATTAAAAAGCTTATGTAATGTGAACATGTTATAAGCTATTATCAGATTAAACATCTATAGTGGTTAAAAGCATTATAACAATCATATTATTTAGCCTTTATTATATAGATATGTGGTAGAAATTGGACTGATGAGTTTCAAGCATTGTTTGGTTACAAGCTCAAGAAGCTTGAGTATCAGTTGAGCAAAAATATCGAATGTTCAAAGATTTTTAAACATCAAAAATGTATCGGTATATAAAAAATTTAGTGCAATATTAAATTTGTCAATTGTTTTATTTTGCATTGAAAAATTTTATTAATTGTACATAATATACTAAATATATATCAAATTATATAAGTATTCAATGTTAATATGCAATTTGCATGAACAAAGAATGCAGTATCTTTATTCAATAAATAATCAAAATTCCATGTTATTAATTACAGTAATTTCAAATTGAAAAATTTGAAAGATTTATCAAATAAATAATTATGAAGTTTGTTATTTATAATAAATCAGAAATTTGGCATTTTACATTATCAAAAAAAATAGTTAAATTTTTTTAACTTTTGATGCTTGATGATAACAGAACTAAAAACTTAGTAAATAAAAGCTTATTTCAATGCTCGAAAACTTTGACCAATGATCGAATAATTATTCATCAGTTCTACTCTCTAATATGTGATACTTATTACTTTAATTTCTTAATATTAAATAGCTCAACTAACATCGATATTTTGTGCTTAAATAATTTTTTAAATAGCAAGCTCTAGGAGAAATTTTCTTATAAATTGATTGTGCAAAAACTTTAGGATTGGTATGAGTAGATAAAACAAACTGTTGCACATATCTTATACATTATATGAACAGACTAAGTATGTAGCATATAATTCAAGATATTCTGCTGTTAATATATATTCTGTAACAATAAATTTAGCATTTAGCATTTGTGTAATGACAGACATGTTGAAGATCAAAATTTTTAATATATAGATTAAAAAGCAATACACAATATTACTAACTTCAAACTTAACTATTTTAAATTATTCAAAATTCAAACTTTATTAAATAAACTTTCTACTTATTTCTACTTTTACAAAACTTACTTACATATATTTTACAATGCTAACTGCTTTCATTGCAACTTAGTTGACTTTTTAACTTACTTATATACATATTCAAACTTATTATTTATCTTTAATATTATGCAAACTAGTATATCTGAATATATTAACAATATAGATCTTAATTATTTATAAATCAGCAAAAAAAACCCATTTATAAAATTAGTAATTATTATACTTTCTACAATACATCTTTTCAAACAAACTCATACTATCTTGATATTATACTTAAAGGACTTATTTCTAAATCTTTAATTAATACTATACAAAACTTAAATATTTTATATAAACTAATCTCACAATTAATAATTGCTATTCTGCTTAAAATTAATAAATTTCTTATGAACAAATATGGAAACCATATTGTATAAATTTTGCTAATTGGAAACAATAACAAAGACATAAACTATCTTACTTTTAGCCTTTATTTCAATCAAGCCAAAGCAACAGAAGAAACTTTAATCATAAAAGTTATACTTATTTCTGTTATGTGGACTATCTGACCAACTACTAATACCTGTCTACCTATTAGTTATGCTATTTGTAAAATCAACATTTGGACTATTTTTTAGATCAAATACAATATTTTCTATAATTATATTCTAAACTTACAAATCTAGATGAGTCTTAACTACTATAGTAGATTTATATTACAGATAAATATATCTAAACTTTATTTTTGAATATAGTTTTTTTTTATTTATACTTAAAGCAATAGTTATATAGTTAGCAGTTTAATAGTTTAAACCTAACTGCAAATGTTGGTTTTAGCTATAGCATTTATATAGAAAATTATTTTTTATACATAACAACTTTATGTAATTGCTAACTTTTAAATTACTAATAAAGATACAAGCAAGGCTTTATTTTAATATCAAAAAAAACAATAATAATAATTGATAAATATATTTAATTAAAACTTTAGTAGTTTCAAAAAAAAAATAACTCTTTTTATAGATTATTTATATCAAAACTACAAAAAAAAACATTAAATTATTTTTTATTTTCTATTAAGTAAACCTTACTTGACTCTTTAAGTAAAGTTATTCAGCACACTTTTCTTTTTCTAGATGGTTAAGTTTTATTTTTCAATAATACTTGGTTGCTAAGAAAAGTTCCAAAAATCAAGTTTTTGGTTTTTGTTTATTTATATATAATTTTACTAATTAAATCTAACTTTATATCTATTCAAAAGTTGTTTAGCTATAATAGTTGAGTTGTTATTTTTTAAACAGTAAGTTCAGAGTTCAAATTCTACTAACTGTAAAAAATTTGAAAAATAGTTCTATTTTAGCAACTTGTATAGGGTATCTGGAGTTGTAACCTTGTAATTTTAATTGTATTAAGACTAACTTTAAGAGTGTGCAATGTTATACAAATAAATCTGGAAAGTATATACTTTATAAGAAGTTCTATTTGGAAATTCTAAATAAAAAGATAGTATAATTTTTGATAGTATCATCTGTGAAAATCTTGATCTAAAAACAGAAACCTGAAGCAAGTCACCTTATAGGCAAGAACCCTAAGCAAAAAGGTCTACTAAACTATCTACTGGTTAAACTGAGTATGAAGTTGCATTATATAGAGCTAACTAGATTGGTAGTATAAAAAAACTTGCAAAAGTATACAAGATACTAGTAAGATTGTAAAAGAAAGTACTAGAGTTATATGAATTTTACAAGAGTATAATAGTTTAAAAGTTATCTAACTGCAAGTGTTGGTCTTAACCATAGTAATACCAAATTAGCTAAAAATTAAATAAAAGAAGGCTCCAATAGGTTTAGTACAAGGTTAAAGATTCTTTATATAAGTAAACTGCTTTAAAGACCTAGTAACTATAGTAAATATACATTGGTAAAAACTGGAGCAGTTGATAGGATAAGTAGCTAAGTAGATACAGAAACCAGAGTGTTTAAATAAAGGACCCACAAACAGGTTCTAGGTATGACAGCTAGTGTAAAACCTTCAGATAAACTACTTAAATTAGATAATAACTAAAGTTGTACAAGTGGCTAGTTGTATACTCTTTCTATAGTTGCTCTTTGTAGCTATTAGAATAATACAATTATAAAGCTGAAGCATACTATCAATAAAAATCTAAATCACAAGTATTTACCTTTAATATTAAAAAAAAAAAGTTGTTTAGTTTACTAAGATAAACATATTAATATATAATTTATTTAAAACAAATCAAACTTATAGAAATACAAGCAAAAGATGAAAAAAAACTTGTTTTTTACAGGTTTTTTTATTGGTAATTTTAGAAAAACTTGCTAGATTGTTCTAAAAATTTTACTTTTTTGATATTCATTAGAATTTTCTAAACATCTAATTAGCTTATCTAAAATTAACTCTTTTTAAAACTTTTTTAATTAGTCTAGAAACCTTTAAACAGATCAAAGTTTTTTAAAAAACATATCTAAAACTCTATTTTTAGAACAAACTGTTAACCTTTGTAACAATTGCACCTGATACTATTGACCTTGACTATTTTTATCAAAAGTAACCTAAAAGCTTTAGAATTAATATTTATAAAGATGCAACAACCTTATTATATTTTATTTCTGCAAACAAACAACCTAACAATTGTAATATTACTGAACTTAAAGAAAACACCAAAAGTAGTTATTACTTTAAAGCATCTGAATCTAGTTTTGTTGTCATATGCTTTTGTAACAAATATTATATATACTTTATCTCAACAACTAACTAAACTTACAAATAACATGAAACTACAAAAATTATTATAAAACTTAAAAACAAAAAAACTTTAATAAATATTATTGCAAACTTTACTGAGTTTGTTCTGCTATCACTTACAGTATCATTTTTACCAACTATATATAATTATTTTTGTACTAAATACAACTTACCTATTGTCTATAAAGAAATAAACAACTAACATTATCTGACAATAGATACTACCTTATACAATAATAAATTTTATTATAAAGCTTGCAATAATATACAACAATCTACTCAACAATCAAGTGCTTCTTTTATATTTATTCAAAAACTTTAATAAACAATTAACTTTTACAACTTACTAGCATTTGAACTTACATTTACAACCTTACCAAACAACAATAATATCATAAATAACATAGATTTAGACAATACTATTATTAATAACAATAACAACTAATAATATTAATAACAACAATAACTATTATACCAAAACTCACTTTACTTTAATGAATAACAGCAACAAACAAGCAAACAACAATAACAGTT